GTGGCATGATCTCAGTTCACTGCAACCTCTACCTCTCAGCTTACTGCAACCTCTGCCTCCCAGGCTCAAACAATTCTCATGCCTCAGCCTTCTGAGTGGCTGGGATTACAGGTGTGTGCCACCACACCCAGCTAATTTTTTTTTTTGTAGTAGAGATGGGGTTTTGTCCTGTTGACCAGGCTCTCTTGAACTCCTGGTCTCAAGTGATCCTCCCGCCTCAGCCTTCCAAAATGCTGGTATTACAGGTGTGAACCACCATACTTGGCTTCATTTTTTTTTATGGTGTTAAGTGCCTGTTCAAATCTTTTGGCAACATATTAAAAAATATGTGTGTGTGTGTGTGTGTGTGTGTGTGTGTGTGTGTATATATATATATTCCTTAATCTATCAATTTTACTTTTTTAGAAATGAAAGTACCAACATTCAGTGGATAAGGCTAGGAACTGGGAACAAAACGAATCAGTGGGAGAAAGGCTGAATGAATTGTGGTATACCATGGGCTATTATGCAGCTATGAAAAAGAATGCATTCATGCTCTGGGAGATGACTCTGAGGACTTTTGGCAAGTAGGAGTGAATGAGCAAAGCAAAAATGACAAGCAGGGCATAATATGATCTCAATTTTGTAACACAAATAATGACCAAAAAACCTGTCTCTCTCTCACTCTTTTTCCTTTTTTAATCTAATAGTATTATATAAATAGGGAGAATAATAAGAAAATATTATAAGAAAAATAATATTTTTTTTTGTTGTTAAAGTGGTTTGCTTGGGCGTTCTGTAGGATGGAGGGTGGGTGCTGATGTTGGGGGAAAGATATGTCTGCAATAAAAGTGCATATTAATTTAGGTAAAATTATGTGTGAAAAGGAAAAGAATCCCTATCATACTAGAATGAGAGTTAAATGAAGTATATAGTATATGCAAATTACCTAGTAAGTACCTCACACATGTGAACTGTCAGTAAATAGAAACTCATGGAAAATTGGATAGTATTCGCATCTGTTAATGATTAACTCCTGAGAACAGAAGATAGAATCCAGAAACAGATTCACTTTGTGGTTTGTCAATACAAATGGTTTGATTTTTGGCATTTTTGAAGCTACCTATTACATAATCTACATTTTGCAACCTTTTTTAATTTGGAGGAATGGGGCACAGGGATGATAAGCTCAGGAAGAGCGTGTGTAATAAAATAGTTATGCCTGTGGAAATGTAGGCATTTGGCAGTGTAGCTGATAGGGGCCCGCTGGTGGCTTACTAAGGAGGAACTTCCTCTCTCTTTTTGACAGTGACTTTCCTCTGTTACTTGGTGGCTTTCTAGGACCTCTAAGGGAGAGGTCCCTTTCCCTCAAGTTCTGATAGTACGTCACCTTCTCTTTGATTTTTATTAATTCTTGTCTTCATTTCCACCCCCAGGATCATGTATATGAACTTCTCAATACCATTGATGCCTGCCAATGCCATTTTGATATCGTAAGATCCTTTGCAATCTCTTCTATTGTAGAGTCAAAGAAAAGGCCAGGTCTAGGTTGGGAGGTCTAGGTCTAGTCGCAGGATGGGGTGGGAAGGGACTGGAAGGATGGCTGTTTCGTTTATTCCTTCTCAGGACTGTAATTGTTTTGTAAAAGAAGTACTGAAGTGAAAATGTATTTACATGTTAAGCAGATCAGCAATGTGATTTAATTAATTAAAAAATTACATAAGAACCTTCTTCACCTTTTCTTTCTCCTAAAAGCTACGTTATTTCCTGGCCTCCTTGTATCTTTAGCTCACTTTTAGCACCTGATTTTGTTCCAATTTTCTTATTCTTCTTTTCAATCCTGTCAGTTCCTACTTCTAAATAGATTCACTCAGAATCTGTTGAGCATGGTCCAGAGTGGTTGGGGAAAGAAGGAGCTCCAGGTTGATTGGTCATGCAGTCCTTGGGTTCCTATGTATTTTCCTTGTAGAATCTCAACTTTGATTTCACTCGGAGTTACCTGGACTTGATTGTGACTTACACCTCAGTCATTTTACTTCTGTCACGGATTGAAGATCGACGGATACTCATTGGCATGTACAATTGTGCCCATGAGATGCTGCATGGGCATGGGTGAGTAAAGGGGATAATATTGTATGAAGAGTCTCACACATGGTGCTATGATATAGAGAGTCCCTCATGCAAAGAAAATCGATGCCATGATTTCTTATATGAGAACCTATAATCTACATTGACCCAGGCAAAATAAGATACGCTTTTACGTATTCAGTTGACTCTGAAACAACGTGGGTTTGAACTACACGGGTCCACTTTATACATGGATTTTTTTCAACCAAACATGGATTGAAAATGTAGTGTTCCTGGGATGTGAAATCCACCTATACAGAGGGCTGATTTTTCAAATGGTGTGGGTCCGCAGGACTGACTGCGGGACATCAGTATGCACGCGATATTGGCATACGTGGGAGTCTTGGAACCAATCTCCCTGCCTATACTGAGAGACAACTGTGGTTAATTCTTGAATATCTGCTAGTGGATTATCCAATTTGCATCATCTCCGAACAATTTTTAATCCTGAACTGGCTTCTACTCTGATTTTCAGGTTATTACAAAAGGCAAAGAAAATTATTTTTAGTGTTGGTAGGAATAATACTAGTGAGGTAAATCCATTAGAAGTAACTAATGCATGATAATACATTTGAAGCCACATATAAATGGATTGTGAATTGTCTGCAGTTCTGTCCCCCTCCATTAGTGCAAATATAAGTATTTAAGGGCTGAAAACATGAAGACTAGAGGGATCAGAGTGGGTCATAGCACATCGTTCTATGATGATGTGCGTTCCCACGTGCCTATGTGGATACCTAGACACATGTCTTACCCGTTAGCTTTGGATATTTATATATCCTTTTGGGTTGTATAACGATTTGGATCTAGGCATATTACTTGATTTTGAACTAATTAACAGATTTATAGAGTGCCTATCATGTGTCCAACCCTATTTTTGGTGCTTATAAGGAAGAAAATTTCATGGACCTGCCCAAAATGAAGTGGTTCTATTTAGCCATAGCTTAGTACACCTGAGCCTGGAGGGGGTTATCTTTATATGTAATTTACAGTTTAGTATGTATATCTTTGGAGGTGGTGGGGAGTGCCAGCCTATGCACATATCTTTATCCTACATGCAAACATAAGAGTTGTGCTTTCTTCTAGTGACCCCAGTTTTGCCCGTCTGGGTCAGATGGTCTTGGAGTATGACCACCCTCTGAAGAAGCTGACAGAAGAGTTTGGGCCTCACACAAAGGCAAGTTCCTTGAGAGTGCAGAATTCCTCAGGCGGAAGTACATTGTCCTCATCATTGCCGCTAAGGTTTCATTTGCTTTTCCCCACAGGCTGTGAGTGGAGCCCTCCTCTCTTTGCATTTCCTCTTTGTCCGAAGGAACCAGGGGGCTGAGCAGTGGCGCAGTGCCCAACTTCTCAGCCTCATCAGCAATCCCCCAGCCATGATTAACCCTGCCAATTCAGATACAGTGAGTGCCCTTTTCCTTTTGTTAGTGGAAGCATTCTCTTTGCCAAGGCCATCATCTCTGTAGAGGATACTTCTTTCCGGAAACATCAGGACTAAAAAATGCTTTAGTCTTCTTCTAGAATATGTCTCTAAGTTGAGCACTTCTTGTAGCTATAAAAATCATGGTTGGTTTGGGGCTTTTGTTTGGATCAGGGTTAGTGGTTTAACAAAAGTGATCTATAAGCAGTTAGCCTGCCCATAGAAGGAATTTAGTAAATATTCATAGAATGAATGAATGGATGAAACAGAGTCATTTCTGTTTGGATGAATGGATGAAACCTATTAAGCCTGGCAGAAACTTGATTTTAGGAATCAATTAACTTATTTTTATTTTTTTGAGACAGTGTCTTACTCTGTCACCCAGGCTGGAGTACACTGGCATGATCACTGCTTACTGCAGCCTCCACCTCCTGGGCTCAAGTGATCCTCCCACTTCAGCCTCCTGAGTAGCTGGGACTACAGGTGTGTGCCACTATGGTTGGCTAATTTTGTTTATTTAATTTAATTTTTATTTTTGAGACAGAGTCTCACTCTGTCACCCAGGCTGGAGTGAGGTAGCACGATCTTGGCTCACTGCAACCTCCCCATCCTGGTTCAAGCGATTCTCCTGTCTCTGCCTCCAAAGTAGCTCGGACTACAGGCACACCCCCCCACACCTGGCTAATTTTTTTTGGTGTGTGTGTCTTTAGTAGAGACAGGGTTTCACCATGTTGGCCAGGCTGGTCTTGAACTCCTGACCTCAAGTGATCCGTGTGCCTTGGCCTCCCAAAGTGCTGGGATTACAGGTGTGAGCCACCGTGCCTAGCCTATTTATTTTTTTGTGGAGACGAGGTATCACTATATTGCACAGGCTGGTCTCGAACTCCTGGGCTCAAGTGATCCTCCTGCCTCAGCCTGCCAAAGTGCTGGGATTATGTGTGTGAGCCACTGTGCCTGGCCAGGAATCAATTAATTAATAGATGTTTTTGTCTGATGACTGTGGGCTCAAAGTCTTTCCCTCAAAGAACTTATAGTCTGGTAGGGAATATATGCCATGTAGTCATAAAAATGCAACTGATGGTACATAATTAGTGATAAGTGCCAAACGAGTGATTTACACTTTAGGCGGTAAAAGAATCCAAAGGATTAACCATCACAGGGAGAAATCATGAGAACGTTTTTGAGTCTTGCTCTCCTCATTTTATTGTTATTAAAAATATCTGAACTGTTGAAGATAAGTTATGTTAAACCTTTTGCTTGTTCTGACTTCCAGCCCAAGTTCCTCTTTCTTTTCTCAACTGTATTGTTTTTCCCTCACTCCACTTCCAGTGCCTCATCACCTCCATTATTGGCAGGCTTCCCTGCTGTTGGTTTATCAATGTGCCCTAAACTAGTCTAGTAAAATAAAAGTTAGTTAAAAAAATTTTTAGAGACAGGGTTTTGCTCTGTTTCCTGGGCTGGAGTGCAGTGATAGAATCACAGCTCACTGCAGCCTTGACCTCCTGGGTTCAAGATATCCTCCTATCTCTGCCTCCTGCATACCTAGGACTACAGGTGCACACCACCATGTCTGGCTAATTTTTCAATTTTTTGTAGAGACAAGGTCACACTGTGTTGCCTAGGCTGGTCTTGAACTCCTGGCCTCAAGCTATCCTCCTGCCCCTGCCTCCCAAAGTGTTGAGATTAAAGGCGTTAGCCACCACCCCTGGCCAAAAGTTAGTTTTGATACTCAGATTCTAGCTTGTCCTTTCTCTTTTAGAGGAAGGCCAGGTTAAATAACTGATCATGTTTGCTTCTCTTCTCACAGATGGCCTGTGAGTATCTGTCTGTGGAAGTCATGGAGCGCTGGATCATCAGTAAGTTTAGTGGGATTAGGTGGGAGTGGATGAAGCAGCAAGTTACATGAAGAACAGGTTCTAAAAGTCTTCCTCTGCACTGTTTTCCCACCTACAGTTGGGTTTCTTCTTTGTCATGGGTGCCTCAACTCCAACAGCCAGTGCCAGAAGCTGTGGAAGCTGTGTCTGCAGGGCTCCTTGTACATCACCCTCATCCGTGAGGATGTGCTGCAGGTGCACAAAGTCACCGAGGACCTGTTTAGCAGTTTGAAAGGGTGAGAAACACGAGAGCCAAACTGATCTTCCTTGAATAGTTTTTAGCCCCCCCAACATCCTTTTTCAGTCTCCACAAGTGTTCCCAGATACTGGTGGTAACAATTAATTCTAACTATTGAAGAAACTAGATTAAACACCTACTATTAGCTAAGTGCTTCACTGGGTTTTAGAGATACAATAATGAATAAGATAACATGGAGGTTAAGAGCATAGACTCTGAAACCAGATTGCTTGGGTTTGAATTCAGGCTCTATCACTAGTTGTGTGGCCTTGGGCAAATTGCTCAAATTTCCCATGCCATTACCTCAATTTCCTCATCTATAAAATGTGGATAACAGTAGTACCTCCCTATGGCCTACCTCATAGGGTTGTTATGAAGAATAAAAGGGTTATTATTTGTAAAGCAGGTAGAAAAGTTCCTGGTACATTGTAAGTGCTATGAGCTTGTTAAAGAAAAAAAAAAAAGGCAGTTTCTGCTCTCGAGGAATCTATAAATTGGTAGAAAATAAACAAATTGTTTGATAGAGTAAGAGATTATAATGTGTAAACCAAAGTACTGTGGAAGCATTTAGAAGGACACTTAAACTGGCCTTTCAGGATCTGGAAAAACCTGGAGACAGGTAGATCTGAAGGGCTAAACAGTTGAAGAGTGTGTGTGTGTGTGTGTGTGTGTGTGTGTGTGTGTATGTGTGAGTAATTGTGTGTGTGTGCCTGCGTATTGGGTGGAAAGGTAGGGGAGCTGCTTGAGGCAAAGAAAGATATTGTAGGCAGAGAAACTATCAAGATTTTTGAGGCAACAAAGAGCATGGCAAGTTTTGAGAAGTTCATGTAGTTCAGTGCATGGGCAGCTGGGTTATAAAAATGAAGATGTTGAGAGATGAATTTGGAGAGGTAAATTAGGATGTTGTATGCTTTGCTATGGAGTTCGAATCCATCCCAAAGAGGATGGGGAGCTATTGAGTGATTTCAGACAGGGGAGTGACATGATCATATCTGCATTTTAGAAAAGATCATTCTGGCTGCATGGAAGAAAAGAAATTACATGGGCAAAACTAGAGGCAGAGATTAATTAAGTAAATTAGGAGGAATTGAGGATGATGTCAAGGTTTCTGCCATGGATATCTGGCATTCCTTAAGATAAGAGAGCATGTGATAAAAGCAGGTTTGTGGGGGAAAGATTGTGTGGTTAGTTTTAAACAGGTTGACTTTGAAGTGTCTGTGGGACACTGAAGATAGATGTGTTAGGCCTTCTACTTTATGATCTGGAACTTGGGAGTGAGGTCTGGATTCAGATAAAGATTGGTGAGTTGGTAATCAAAACAGGAGAGTAGTTGAGATTACTCAGGAGTACATGTGGAACGAGAACAGAATGGGATAAACCTCTGTGTACGGTGATATTTAAGGGCCAGAGGAATCAGTGGGAGATACTGAAAAGAAGAGGGAAAAGAGAAGCCAACAAAGAAAATGTTCATTGGATTTGGCTATAAAGATGGTTTTAGTGCCCATCTTGTGAACAACTTGAGTGGTGAAGTTGAAAGCTGGGCTGCAGTGAGTTTAGGAGCAAGTGAGAGATATGGAATTTAATAAACAACTCTTTCAAAGTTTGACTGTAAAGGGAAGAATAGAGAGAGGTAAAATGAGAAGGAGTGGGATTAAGGAAAGGGTCAAAATACCAATATTTTTTTCTGGTTGCAAATAAAACATCCAGAAATGTAAAAAGTGCAAAGTGGAAGTTGGCTACACTATCACCTTCCAGAATAGTTTGATGTGCATCCTCCAGATGTGTGTGTGTGTGTGTGTGTGTGTATAAACACATAAAGGTGGCATGTATTTTCAACCTTATGAAAGTAATTTTTAAAAAGCAGTGGATCCACACTCTACATTATGTTCTATGGTTTGCTTAAAAAAACTTACTATGTTTTGGATATCTTTGAATATCAGTCTGTAGAGACTTATTATTTTTTAACAGTTGAATAATATTACATTATGTGGTTTTAACATAATTTATTTACCCAATCCTCTATTGATGGATATTTAAACTGTTTCCATTTTAAAAAATCATTATAAACAATGCTATAATGAACATTCTTAGACATACATCTTTGTGAATCTGTGAATATTTTTTCTTTTCTTTTCTTTTCTCTTTTTTTTTTTGAAGCTTGAGTTTTGCCTTTGTTGCCCAGGCTGGAATGCAATGGTGCCATCTCGGTTCACTGTAACCTCCACCTCCCGGGTTCAAGCATTTCTCCTGTTTCAGCCTCCCGAGTAGCAGGGATTACAAGCATGTGCCACCACTGGCTAATTTTTTGTATTTTTAGTAGAGACGGGGTTTTACCATGTTGGCCAGGCTGGTCTCGAACTCCTGATCTCAGGTGATCACCCACCTCGGCCTCCCAAAGTGCTGGGATTACAGGCGTGAGCCACCATGCCTGGACTTGAATCTGTGAATATTTCTATAGGGTAAATTCTTAGAAGTGGAATTGCTGAAGTAAAGGGTATGTACATTTCAAATTTTTTATTTTTTTATTTTTTTATTTTTTTTTGAGACGGAGTCTAGCTCTGTCGCCCAGGCTGGAGTGCAGTGGCCAGATCTCGGCTCACTGCAAGCTCCGCCTCCCGGGTTCACGCTATTCCCCTGCCTCAGCCTCCCGAGTAGCCGGGACTACAGGCGCCCACCACCTCGCCCGGCTAGTTTTTTTGTATTTTTTGGTAGAAGTGGGGTTTCACCGTGTTAGCCAGGATAGTCTCGATCTCCCGACCTCGTGATCCACCTGCCTCAGCCTCCCAAAGTGCTGGGATTACAGGCATGAGCCACCGAGCCCGGCCCATTTCAAATTTTAATAGCTGTTACCAAATTGCCCTCTAACCAGTTATTATCAAAAGCCTATGAGAATACTGATTTCTCACTCTCAACAACTAAGTATTATCATTAAAAACCATTGCCAGAGTTAAGAAAGAGTAAATCTGAAGTTAATAATTAGAAGTTACAGGAGGTAGATTTGGGCATCTGCATGGAAAAACTTTCTAATGATTACTGCTTCCAAGGAATGGAAGGGATGTTTGAAGGGTGTTCAGTTCTCCATCACTAAGAGCAGCAACTAACTTGTATGATTTATAGTTTAGGGAGTTATTTGACATAAATGATCTAATTTATCTTCATGAAAATTCAAGAATAAGTATTAATATCTTTTTTTTATAAATGAGAAAATGGAGGCTCAGTCTCAGTATCACTCAATAAAAGGTGAAATTAGGACACAATTCCAGGTTTTTGGACTCTGAATCTTTTCTCTTTCCACTGTGCTATGCAGAGATTGAAATAATTATCCAACAGGATTGCTGTGAAGTTGAATGTTGATTTAATTAAGATACTTTCCAACTCCAAACTTCTTTGATTTTATGCTAGTTCAATAAAGTAGTGGTTTGGAGAAAGGAAGTGAGAGGTGATGAAGTCCCATTAATGTGGTGGCAATAATGATATAGGACCAGAGAAAACGAATATAAGGAACATAGAGAGGAAAGAGTCTAAGGTCATGCTGGTATTGTGAGCATCGGTCACTAGTAGAAAAAAAGAGATGTGGTTAGGAGAATCAAATATTGCAGAAAATTAAAAACAATGAAAAGGCCTTCTAATTTGGTGATTCAAAAGTTCACATTGACCTTACAGAGAGCAGTTGCTTAGTGCTGAAGGCTTTGTGGGATTCCAGGGTCAGTGAGAGGTGAGGAAGTAAAGAGAGTACAGGTGTCTCTTTGGAGAAGTTTGGTGGTGTGGAAAAATAAGCAGAGTTCAGTGGATTGTCAGGGTCAAGCAAGGGTCTTCTTAGAATAAGGGAGGCTTTGAACTTATTTGTTGGGAGAAGAGAATAAGCCAGTGGAGAAGGAGAGTTTAAAGTATCAAAAAGATAACTGATAAAGTGAAATTCTAAAAGGAAGTTGGTGGGAATGGGACCCAAGGTAGAGATTGAGTAACTACTTTTACTTGAGAGCAGGGCCTGTGTTATATTTATACACTGTTCCCTTTATTTCCCTTAAACCTGGAAGAGTGCCTTGATTTGAAGGAGTCAAGGCAGGAGCACAGGAAGAGAAGTCTAGCCCCAGCTTTGCCATTAAAGCCCTATGTGACCTTGACAAGTCATTTCCCTTCCCTAGGTATTATTTTCTGTATCTGTAAAATTATGAGATAGAGTTGAATTATCTCTAAGCTGTGAGTCTTTTATTAATAGGCTAGGGTGAGAAGTAGGGTTTGGAAAGATCCCGCCTGTGAGGGCTGCACATGCTCCCACCAGGGTGTAGGCTGGACTCTCTGAGGGCTGGGAAGGTGAGGCAAGGGCCCTAATGGGCAGTATCGTCAACCCCACTGTGCTTGTGTCAATCCTCAGGTATGGCAAGCGAGTGGCAGACGTAAAGGAGAGCAAGGAGCATGTAATTGCAAACAGGTAAAGGGTGGTGAATGCACTCTCTGAGAGGGGATGGAATAGAATTCTCTTCTCACTTTTGTTCTCACCTAAGCCATCCTTAGTTTCTGTACAGCTTTATTGCCTCAACCCAAGAACTTGCTGCCCCATACATTATTTTTTCTTTTCTTTCTTTCTTTCTTTTTTTTTTGAGATGGAGTCTCGCTCTGTTGCCCACGCTGGAGTACAATGGCATGATCTCAGCTCACTGCAACCTCCACTTCCTAGGTTCAAGCGATTCTCCTGCCTCAGCCTTCCGAGTAGCTGGGATTACAGGCACCCACCACCACGCCTGGCTAATTTTTGTATTTTTAGTAGAGACAGGGTTTCGCCATGTTGGCCAGGCTGGTCTTGAACACCTGACCTCAGGTGATCTGCCCACCTCGGCCTCCCAAAGTGCTGGAATTACAGGCAAGAGCCACTGCTCCTGGCCCTTTTTTCTTTTTAAACCAAGTCTAACTTGAGCATTGAACCTTCCTTCTGCCTGATATCCCTTCCTAAATATAGCTTTCTTCTGTGCTGCCTGTGGAGGGTTTTTAAGGGTGGGAGAGGTGATAGTCATGTTCCCCTTTTCTTCCTTAGTGGCCAGTTTCATTGTCAACGGCGGCAATTTCTGCGGATAGCAGTGAAGGAGCTGGAGACTGTGTTGGCTGATGAACCGGGACTGCTGGGTCCCAAGGCAAGAGGAAGAAATGTTGGAAGGGGGATGATGGCCAGTGATAAGAGACTGTGTAGCTACATGGCATTCATGAGATTTTGCCTTTCTGAGTCTTTTGTGATTCATTTGTATGTATATATGCTGATTCCCTTGAACCCTCTTGGAGTACCCCAAAACTTTGTGTATCTCTTTTTTTGGCACTATACATAGTATGTCATGTAGTATAGCTACTTTTATACTTGTCTTATCCTCTATTTGAGTGTGAACTAATTGGAGACAGAGCTTGTTTTTTTGTTTCAAACCACATAAATGCCCAGTAAATATTTCTGAAGCTTAATTTGATAGGGAGAGAAGAGTAATAATTGTGAGCTAGTGTCAACATGTGTTCCTGTCTGATTGTGTGTTATATAGTTCAGGTTTTTTGATGAGTCTGAATGTTTATTATTGGACACTGTTGTGGCTACACAATTACATCCACACGTATATTATCATGGTAGTTTTCTCTGTGCTTTGAAATCCATTTTTAAAGTTGAAAATTCTAATAGTCTCTACCATCTCCGTAGGCTCTTTTTGCTTTCATGGCCCTGTCCTTCATTCGTGATGAGGTCACCTGGCTGGTTCGCCACACAGAGAATGTCACCAAGACAAAGACACCTGAGGACTATGCTGACTCGTTAGTACTTGACATGGCTAAGAACCTTGTCCTTAGATGGACTGGGGACAGGGAGGCATCAGATAACCTCAGGAGATATCAATTTCTGCCCTGTTATCCCTGTGTTTGTCTCTGTTCATATTTCTAGTCTTATTCATCTCTGTTCTCATCCTCAACTTCATAGGAGCATTGCAGAGCTACTTTTCTTGTTGGAGGAGGTTAGGTCTCTTGTCCGAAGACACATCAAAGTGATACAGCAATACCACCTTCAGTACTTGGCAAGATTTGATGCTCTTGTGCTCAGTGACATCATTCAGGTATTATGTTTAATTGATTATACTTTGGAAATTTCAGGATGATCCCTAGTGATTTTCCTATTGAAACCACTCTGGCTGAATCTCATGCTCTGTAAGTTGGGTGTCAAAAAGTCCAATCTGCCCCTTTATATTTGTTAAAAGAAAAAGAAAGGACTAATAATCTCAGCAGTCTTTTTTTTTTTTTCCCCACTAAGTGAAACTACATAGAAATAGGAGAGAAAAATAAAAAGAAACTGGGTGTTAGAGTGTCAGGGAACCCAGGAAGTTTCCTCCATCCCTTGCTTGGCTTTTTCTCTCTGTTTTTGGCACTTAGCAATTCTTTCTACCTTCATACACTGATTGAGCCTCATGGTCCTAGTTTCTGTCCTAGGGAATCTATGCCCACTTGACAATAACTGCAGCTCCTCTTTTAGAACTTGTCTGTGTGTCCAGAGGAGGAGTCCGTCATCATGTCCTCATTCGTCAGTACCCTCTCGTCTCTGAATCTCAAACAAGGTAACTGGAGGGAGGTGGGGGAGGCAGGACATATGTGAGGATGAACATCTTTTATCTGGAAATATTGATCTTTGAGCCAGGAAGTAGGACAAGATATCTTTGAAGAGGATCTACCATTCTGTGCAGTTGGATATTGGTGTGCTGTTTACTGTTTCCTTTTATACTTCTGTTTTTCTTGCAGTTGATAATGGAGAGAAATTTGAATTCTCAGGATTGAGGCTGGACTGGTTCCGCCTACAGGTAATGATCTGTTCCTGTGAAAGATTCCCATCCTCAGATTCTTCCTCCCCCATAATCTCTTCCCTTTTTGTCTCCTAAATTTGCTTTATGGAGTGAGTCAACTTTGAAAACTGCTAACTGGACAAGACATACTCAGGCCAAACTGTAATTCCAAGGCTGGGGCCCTTTTCATTCATCTTATTTTTCTCCACCCTTTCCCAACTCCAACTGCAGGCATACACTAGTGTGGCTAAGGCCCCTCTGCACCTGCATGAGAACCCTGACTTAGCCAAGGTGATGAACCTCATTGTCTTCCACTCCCGAATGCTGGACTCAGTAGAAAAACTACTGGTGGAAACTTCTGATCTGTCTACTTTCTGGTATGTCTTGGTTCAGAGCTCTCTTTAAAAAGTTTTATTGTTTCCTTTTTTCATTTTTTTCTCCATTATGCCACTTACTTCAAGGAAATTTTTTTAAGGTTTTTAAATTTTATTTTATTTTTTTTGAGACAGGCCTCACTATGTTGCCCAGGTTGGTCTTGAACTCCTGGCCTCAAGCAATCCTCCTCCCTTAACCTCCTGAGTAGCTGTGATTACAGGCAAGACCCACCAAGCTTGAACTAGAGCTCTTTATCAATTCATTTGCTCTCTTGCCTGGCCTCTGTGGAGGACTGCAATTCCCCTAGACAATTGGAAAGTGTCACTTTTTTTGAGATCTCCTTAAGATGCTCAAACTCCACAGCTCACTCGTGTCAGCTTTTTAGGAATTTGAAGTTGATTCACTTTTGTTCTGTATTCCCTTTTGTTCTTTTGTGGAAAGCCATTCGGATTTTACATAGTCTTCCCTTCTCTGGGGTAGTTAGCCCACATATCTAGTTTCAGTCTCCTCTCTTTGGAAACTTCTTCAGTTTTGTTTTTTTTACTCTAGGAACATTGTGATTTAAAAGTGACAGGAAAAACTTTGAATTTTAGTGGACAGGAGTGAAAATAATTGAGAGGCCTAGAGAATAGGGCCTTTGGAGAATGAGCTGAATGAGTTTGTCTTCCTTAGATAGCACTTGACCTTTTTAGGCGATCACCGTTGTATACAATTCCACCCTTTGAAGGATCAAACAAACAAGTGGAAACACCATGTGTTGCCTCTGCCTTCTGTAAGCAATGAGGTCGGGGAAGATATAATACCTGTATGTGAAAAGGACATCAACATAATACTTGCAAATGTAAGAAAGTGTAAAAGAGTACATGAAGTTGAGAGGACATGGGTTGAGGAAAGATCAGTCTCATGGGATTAATTTGAGAAGATTTTCTGGAGCCTGAGTGTTAAATTTTGGGAGAAATGTGAATTAACACTACTGAAGGACTTCCAAATTAGGGGGAATGGCCCAAATCATGCCAAGGTTCTAAGGGAGGAATAGCAAATTTTGTGCAAAGAAAGGGAAGAAGATTATCGTTAAACTTGCCTGGGGTCCTTTATAAAAGTCTGGAAGGATTAAGTTTCTTGGGTTCCCTTCTATCTTAAGGGTAGGGAAATTAAGCAGGGAGTGGTAGATATCGGTAAATGTTTTTCGAAAGAATGAACATTCTCTCCGCCTCAAAGGGACTAGCTCTTAAACTCTATTTTTCTTTTCCTTTACTTTTTACTCACCACTTTAATAACAGGACTAAACCCTGATTTAAAGTCTTCCCGTTTCTCTGCAGCTTTCATCTCCGTATCTTTGAGAAGATGTTTGCCATGACCTTGGAGGAACCTACCATGTTGCGTTATGCCATTGCTTTCCCCCTGATTTGTGCTCACTTTGTCCACTGCACTCATGAGATGTGCCCAGAGGAGGTAGGTATCCTGAACTCCAGACCCTGTCCTCTTTCTAGTCACATCTCATCCTTATCACCGAAAACACAGTTCCAAGGATTGATTTTGGTCCCAGAAACGGTATAAACATAGATGTATGATATAAGTCCCTAAATATCTCAGCTTCATATAGAATGTATCCTGTCTCTGGGCCTCAGTTTCTTCTTCTGTAGGAATGGGTAAGAATCTTCTGTAAGATTCAGGCAAGGGATGAGAGCAGTATTGTGAGGAAGAAGTGGCCATCCTGGTGATGACAGTCTCTTCTTTGGTCCCTCTTTCCCATAGTACCCCCACCTGAAGAACCATGGTCTTCACCACTGCAACTCCTTCCTGGAAGAGTTGGCCAAGCAGACCAGCGATTGCGTCCTGGAGATCTGTGCTGAGCAGCGAAACCTGAGCGAGCAGGTAGGCTCAGCCTTCTCTGTTGCACTCTCCCCTCTGCCGGCCCTCAGCGCCTTCTCCTCTATCTAACTTTGTTTCCCTCTCAGATGCCAAGCTCAGTAACTCTTTCTCTCAAGTATGGCTAGGGCCTTTCTGTACTTAAGTTTATGGCAGAATTCTTTTCTTAGTGTAGTCCCTTCAGTCTTTCCTCCCTTAGGACTGGATAGAGGTGTCTAAAAATACTCTTATTTGAACAGCTGTACTCCAACGAAATCTGCGCTCTCACTTGAAGAGTTCTGAGAGATGAGTTAACTTTCTAATTTACTTCCCCTCCTCTCTTTGCCCTGAGTACACATACTAAGGACAGTGGCCCCCAGGTCACCTGTCTTGTCTCATCTTTCTATCTGCATCCTAATCTGTGGCTATCTGGACATTTTGAGGCACCTCTTCTGTGTTTATCCTCAAGGCTGCTTTCTTGCCTTTTTCTTCTTATTTTTCACCTCTCCTTCCTTGACTGACTCTTAGTACCTCGTCATAATTAGTTCAACCTAAATTTCAGAAAATTTGAAAATGAGAAACTTGTTTTGCTGTTACCCTGGAGTCTTTTGGGTTTTCCAGACTACCCACCTTTCCTGGGTTTGAGTCAGGCTTGGTATAGGGGAGTGTGTGTGTGTGTATACAGATGCACAGTTACATTATTACTTAACCTTTTTATTTTTCTTATGAAAATTACATACAATGGGAATAAAAATACTTTCTTCATGGAAGTGTCATAAGGATTAAATAGAATACATTTAATATTTGATATACAGCACTCAATAAATGTTACCTGTTATATTAGTTGGAACTTACTGAGCACAAAGCCCTGTGCTGGGTTTTTGGGTGGGGACCCAGAAGGAAGGTACACAATTCCTGCCCTTCAGAAATGTCCCAGTTTAAGAGAAAAGGGAGTATAAATACATGCTCGAAAGAAATTTAAATAATTAATGCAAGAAGATATGCAAATGAGTACAATTGCAGGTATATTCATCACTCAATATGCTTAATCTCAGCCAGAAGGCTGAGAAAGCCAAGAAGAGATCATCAGTCAATATGAATAACTGCTACATGCAAGAACACTGGTAAAAAGATTTGCTCAGTGTTGTCTCAGGGATGACTAAAACATGACATGAGTAATGTTCACACATACCAGAACTTTTGCAACTAAATGAGTATAGGCTTTCTAAAGTTAACATTCTGAGTAAATAATTAGTGGCATTGCCATTACTAGTGGAATTACATATTTTGGAACTGCTTTCAGAATCTACTACAGACAGATAATCTTTTGCATAATCTCAGGGTTGACACATCGTTTTCCATCAAGGTGGACTTGATTTTTTTGAAACAGCCAAGAGTTTGGATTTAAAAAAAGAAGGCGTGACTATAAAGTAACAAAACTGGTTTCCTCGTGTGGCTCTTATGCTGCTCTCAGAGTGATTTCAGCTGAGGAGCTTCCAGATATGACCTGCTCATGCTCAGCAGCTCTAGAGTAAATGGAGAGAATTCCAGTCACTTTGAAGGAGATGTCTGAGTGGGATGTCCGAGTGAAGACAAGAGATGCCAGGTTGATGTTTAAGCTAATTAGCAAGAAATATGATATTAAAAAAAAGTGGAAAGACTATGCTGGCCACATTGTGAACTCCAAATCTTTGGAGAGCTGTGGTGGTGTGGGTAATTGTCTTATGAGATAGAATAGGAAGGGATGTAGCACGTGAGATGATTGTTCCATCTAGTAAAAAATAACTGTTTTCCTATGTTGGAAGACCCTGCAAAGCACAATTGAGTGGGACTTTTAGATCTTGTTCTTTATACTTGAGTTTTTCCATTAAGAAAGGCTCTCTCAGGATGTGGGTATGGGACTGAGGCTCTGATCCCCGAAAGACACTGCCATCTTGAGACTTAGAGCCTGTACACGCAGAAATATTTATGAAAACTGAAAGGGGTAAGCCCATTCTGAATAGGCCCCCATTAAAGAAAGAGATGCGTGGAAGGAAAGAGAGAGGAAGGCAGAAAAATAAAATAACAGACAACAATGGACAACAACTTTTTTATAACTGTCAGATGCCGTTTTAGCAACAAATCTCCTTTCTCCATGTACCTGTGTTTGTTTCTGAAGCTCCTACCTAAGCACTGTGCCACTACAATCAGCAAAGCCAAGAACAAGAAAACCGTGAAGCAGAGGCAGACTCCCAGGAAAGGAGAGCCTGAGAGGGACAAGCCAGGAGCTGAGAGTCACCGAAAGAACCGCAGCATTGTTACCAAGTGAGGACCTGGGCCCTAGACGGCCAGCTGGGTACTGCATCAAAGAAGGCAGGAAAGGAAAGAGGGAAGGTGACACAGAAAAAAAAGAGCGCAAGTCGTGGTGGGGAATGAGGGGCACAGAAAAGCACTTCAATGTGAATTTCCTCCTTTGCCTTTGAGGTCTACATCAATGTGTACTCTTCTAGGCTGAGTATCCCTAGAAACTGGGTCATGAGCCCAACACGTCCTTCCTAGACATTAGCAGACAGTGCCAGACCTGTAATCCAGGCTCATTTTTCTTTCTAGCATGGACAAGCTACACCTAAACTTGACAGAACTGGCACTGACAATGAATCATGTATACAGTTTCTCTGTGTTTGAACATACTCTCTTCCCTTCTGAGTACCTCAGCAGCCACCTGGAGGCCAGACTCAACAGGTATCACTCTTTCCTTGCCCTCTGTTTGGACGGTAGTCCTCATACTGTACCATCTACCTGTATGTGTAGTGTGGGGGTGCTCAAAGTTGGGTCCCGTTACATTCATCCTGGTGGTCATGCTACACGGTGGAGATGCTGATGCAGTCAGTCTAGCATAGGTTCCAAGCATCTCTATTAAAAGCAAACAAAAGGAACCCCAAACCTCTATAGGTGGTTTTGATGAACACCCAGAATCGAAACCACTGGTTTAGTAGAATGAGCAAGGCCTTTGCAGTGAGCAGACCTGCGTTGACAACCTGGTCATTAGCTAAGACATTGGAGCAGATCATCCAACTTATTTGACCAGTTTCCTTCCTTGTAAAGTAAGGATAGTGGTATTTACCTTACTTATGGATAATTGAGAATTACCCGTAATTGAGATTTGCAAAGTTCCTGACATATGTTAGGCTTTAATAAAATACATCCCTTGCCTCCACTTTGACCCTCACTCCATTGCCCCGGAAAGTAAGAGGCACACCCCTTACACTGGAATTGGGCACTACAGTCCGCAAGTAGGCGAATGGGAGGAAGAATTATTATGAATAAGCCTCAACCCTTCTGTGTTTTGTTTTGGAGTGTGTAGCTTATTCATTCATTCAACAAATATTTATTGAACACCTGCTGTGTGTCAGCAGTATTCTAAAAGCTGTTTATACAGCAATATATGAAACAAATCAAAACCTCTGCCTCCATGCTTACTTCTAGTGGGGAAGATAGATAAACAAAATAAGAAAGCGGAATACATAGTAGATTAGGTAGTGATAAGGGCCAAGCAGAAAAATAAAGCGGGAGGCCGGGTGCGGTGGCTCAAGCCTGTAATCCCAGCACTTTGGGAGGCCGAGACGGGCGGATCACGAGGTCAGATCAAGACCATCCTGGTTAACACGGTGAAACCCCGTCCCTACTAAAAAAAATACAAAAAACTAGCCGGGCGAGGTGGCGGGCATCTGTAGTCCCAGCTACTCGGGAGGCTGAGGCAGGAGAATGGCATAAACCTGGGAGGTGGAGCTTGCAGTGAGCTGAGATCCGGCCACTGCCCTCCAGCCTGGGCAACAGAGCGAGACTCCCTCTCAAAAATAAATAAATAAATAAATAAATAAAAATAAAGCGGGAAAGGGAGATAGGAAGTATGTGTGCTGGTGGTGGTGGTGGTGGTGGTGGCAGAAGTGGGTGTTGCAGTTTTAGATGGAGTGGCCAGGAAAGGCCTCCTTGAGAAAGTAACATTTGAGTAAACCTGTGAGGACACTGAGAAAGCCAGGCATGTGACTACTGGGGAAAGAGCATTCTAGGTAGAGGAAACAGCAAGTGCGAAGGCTCTGAGGTTTGAACATGACTTCTAGGTTCAGTGGACATGGAGGAAGACAGTGTGTCTGCAGTACTATGAGCCTGGGAGAGACTGGTAGGATGTGAATTGAGGGAGGTCAGAAAAGTCGCAGATTGTATATGCGCTTACATGTCATTGTAAGGACTTTGGCTTTTATTCTGAGTGAGATGGGAGATGGGGAGCCTTGGCAGGTTTTGTGCAAAGCTGTAATAATTAGACTTGACTCAGTATTTTACTCTGGCTGCATTAGTGGGGGCAAGGCAGAAGCAGGGAAACCAGTTATGAGTCTATGTTTTGATTGTCAGAGAAGCAAATTTGTTTTTCAGTTAGGTTTTTGCTTGGGTGAAGTTAAATTAGTTTGTTTTCATTACATACACATTAACTATAAGGAAGAAAGTGTCTCAGTTGCATACACAGTGTCAGGAAGATGACAGTTTGATAATGGCCCATGTGCAAGCCTTCAGATGCTGGTGGTGGTTTCCATGCCCTAGAGCAGCATGAGTGTGATATTCAAGTTTTACCCGATAATCTCTGATACTTGCTTCACTGACATCGTTGTTCTCAATGCCCTACGGTTGGCCTAGAGGTTTGGCCTCAGTGTTAACTCTAAATTAGATTAGCCTTTCCCTTAGTCTGTCCCTTCTGTATTATTTTTCCCTCAAGTGGTACTTGAGAGTCTTTTCCCTTTCATTTGTGGAACAGACCAGCCCCCCCTTTCCCATCATCTCCCCTGCCATAAGCATTTTGCCAAAAAACACGAAACAAACAAAAAACTACCTCTTTCCTCTGTGGTTCACATTTTAACAAGGAAAAAGTCCTTAGTCAGAGGACTGACTCTAATTGTGAAATCTCAGATACCTGGGGAAGGTATTTTGAAAGGAGTTGGGGGTCCAGTGGTGAGGGGTCTTGCTGGTGTGCCCCTACAATAATATAGTGTGGATGGTTATTCTACCCTCTCTAATGTTGCCTATAGCTGCATGCCAGCCACGCATGATCTCTATTCAGCCCTGGCATGCCATGGCTACTCGGGATTATAATATACTTCCAAGGATTTCTAAGCATGTTTTTCTATTTCTGACAGTGATTAGAACTAATTCTTTTCAAGGAGAAAAGATAAATACTGGCACTGAGAATGCAGAGGGTGTGAACTCTCAGGTAGAGTTAGATGGAATTAGAGAGCCCAGGTCTTTTACTACCTGAACTATTTCTCCAGAGGAGGAAGAAAAGCATAGTAATTACGGATCAAATGTTACTGGAATCAAGTCCCAGCTCGGCCACTGCCAGCTGTGTGGTCTTCAGCAATGATTTATTATCTCTGTGTCTCAGTTTCCTCATCTATAAAAATGAGGATAATGCCGGGCGCGGTGGCTCACGCCTGTAATCCCAGCACTTTGGGAGGCCGAGGCGGGCGGATCACGAGGTCAGGAGATCGAGACCATCCTGGCTAACACGGTGAAACCCCGTCTCTACTAAAAATGCAAAAAATTAGCCGGGCGAGGCGGCGGGCGCCTGTAGTCCCAGCTAGTCGGGAGGCTGAGGCAGGAGAATGGCGTGAACCCGGGAGGCGGAGCTTGCAGTGAGCCGAGATCGCGCCACTGCACTCCAGCCTGGGCGACTAAGCGAGACTCTGTCTCAAAAAAAAAAAAAAGAAAAAAAAGAGGATAATAACTGTCCCTAGCTCATTAGGTTGCTATGAGGTTTAAATGAGATAATATGTGTAGTAAAATCCTAGCACAGCACCTGAAAGACAATATACACTCAACAATTGTTACTGTATTTATCATTATGATTGTAATCCTAATTTTTTTTTTTTTAATCATCTAGAGCCATTGTGTGGCTGGCTGGCTACAATGCCACGACCCAGGAGATCGTACGGCCTTCTGAGCTGTTGGCAGGAGTCAAAGCATACATTGGTTTCATACAGTCACTGGCCCAGTTTTTGGGTGCAGATGCTTCCAGAGTCATCCGCAACGCCCTCCTACAGCAGACACAACCACTGGATTCTTGCGGGGAGCAGACAATCACCACTCTCTACACAAACTGGTCAATATTGCTTAGGCTTTCCCCCTGCCTTACTTTGTGTTGACACTTTTTCCTTTACACAGTAGGACCTCAGGGCCTGAGCATTTTAGCTCCCAAGGTCATAGACCCCTAAATGGAGGGTTGCTTCTCCTTGAGGAATGGAGCAATAGCTTGAGACAACTTGAGACAAGCCCAGATCCCCTTCTGTCCACCACGAAGTTTCCTTCTCACCTTCACTGGAACATCCTTCGGCTTACCCTGAAGTTATTTGACCTTTTTCCTCTAATATCCAGTTCTTAACCTTTCTTTTTTGGATTCTTACTGTTTCAGTTTCAAGTGATCTCTCTTCCTCTTTCCAAAGTTCTCTTATTTCTCTTTTTGCCCTCACTTCTCCTTCTGAAAATCATCTGCCTACTACCATCTCTCTGGAACGTCTCCTCATCCCCGGATGTGACTGCTGTTCTCACTAGAGAAGGGGGCCTCCTCCCAGCAGCTGGAGAAGGTGGGAATCCGCATATTTCCTTTGACATGTTAAGGAAAGGAGCTGGATTCCTACCTCCCCAAGCCACTGGGTGGCGCTCTTAACCCAAAATCAGCTCAGTAGGCGACGGGCTGCAAAGAAGAACCCCCTAGAACAAGGGGACACAAGTTTGCAAATGCGCATGCCAACTGGGGCCAGGCAGGAAAGGTAAACGGATGTGCCACGTGGGCCAGGCAGTGACTTTGAGGAGTTGGAGAGGGAATAACCCCTCTAAAGGGAACGGCCACCACTTAGCTCCACCTGATTGCTGCCCTGCTAAATCCCTATTTTTTACGTAAAAATCTGTTTCAAAATTTTGACAAAGAATTTTCCATAGATACCAGAGAAGATGATTCAACCCCTCTTCCCCTGTCAACTGTTTTCAGCATAAATTCAAAGGAAAAAAAAAAAAGTTCGACTGGGTTTGGCCCACTAGCGGTTAGCTTGTGATGTCTGTTAGATACAGATCCACAGCAAGTGCCTGGAAGAGGTGGGTTGGTGAAGCCCTCCTGTACCCACATTGGCTGTAGCCCAGCTCCTTTAAGTTTGCCTAGAGGTCAGGAGGAACTATTTGAAGACTGATGACCTGTGCTTACAGGGTACCTCTTTGCCCAGGAGGTTTGAGAGTATATTTCAAAGGAGTATAATTAAGTAGTGACTGTTTTTCTTGCCAGCTTGAGCCTGTCTTACCTGACAGAGGGTAAGGGTGAGGGGAATACGGCTGTTGGAAAGAGCAGTGGTTGAGGGAGGGGAGTGCATGCTATTGTGTTTGACAGTATAGCAAAATACCCTCTAGGTTAGAGGTGAAGTGGAATTCCAGTACTGCCAGTTGTTTTCGATCCAACAGCTTGGGGTGTTAATTAGAACACTGTATCGTCATCTTTGAGTTTCTTCTCCCTACCCTAGTCTTTTGCAGAGTTTTTCTTTCTGAGCTCAGTGGTAGTAGTAGGGAGTGGTGGTAGGGAGGGGGGATTGGACCCTAATCTGTGCTTTCTTGGCCAACCCTGTAGGTACCTGGAAAGTCTGCTTAGACAGGCAAGCAGTGGGACCATCATCTTCTCCCCAGCCATGCAAGCCTTCGTCAGCCTGCCCAGAGAAGGGGAGCAGAACTTCAGTGCAGAGGAGTTCTCTGACATCTCTGGTGAGCCCAGGGCTTGGTCTTCTTTTCAAGGAGCTGAGCCCTTCCTTCAATGCACAGAGAATAAAAGACTAGGACATGTATTTAGGTTGATGCAAAAGTAACTGTGGTTTTTGCAGTGAAAAGTAATTGCAAAAATTACTTTTGCACCAACCTAATAGTAAAGGGTAAGGGATAAAGTGTAAGAAGGACATTCTCCTGTTTGGAATTATTAAACAGTGGTCTGCTGTCATGACATGTTCTTCTTCTTCTTCTTCTTCTTTTTTTTTTTTTTTGAGATGGAGTCTCGCTCTGTCGCCCAGGGTGGAGTGCAGTGGCATGATCTTGGCTCACTGCAACCTCCGCCTCCCAGGTTCAAGCGATTCTCCTGCCTCAGCCTCCCGAATAGCTTGGGACTACAGGCATCTGCCACCACACCCAGCTAATTTTTTACATATATATTTTTTCAGTAGAGATGGGTTTTCACCATGTTAGCCAGGATGGTCTTGATCTTCTGACCTCATGATCTGCCCGCCTCAGCCTCCCAAAGTTCTGGGATTACAGGCATGAGCCACCGCGCCCAGCCGACATCTTATTCTTTAGGGATACATTTTAGAGTTTTAGTCAGTGTTTGGATTGCTGATGTTTAATAATAACAATGATGAGATGATACATGGCATTTATTGTGGGCTAAGTTCTAAGTGTTTATGCATATTAACTCAATTAATCCTCATAACAGCCTTGAGGTATAATAGATACACTTATTCCCATTTTTCAGATGAGGACACTGGGACACAGAGAGTTTAAGGAACTTGCCTAAGTCCACACATTCATAAATAGTAGGACTGGGAGTTCAACTCCAGGCAGTCAAACTCCAGGACCTGGGGGCTTAAGCGCTGTACAGTGCTGCCTTCCAGTGTCTAGAAGTGCTTTTGTGTCTCAGGGGGAGGCAGGTAAGGAGTGTGTAGTGAATGAGATGGGAAGCCGTTCCCTTTCTCAAGAGGGTTTGAAACCATACAGATCCTTTTTAATAGATTTGTTTTTACCAAGTAATTCATGAACTATCCTACTTCTTTCTCCTTCCTCTCACCTCCATATAAATCAGGGATGCTGCGTAGTATCTGGGACAGGGAGAAGATGTTCCAGTGATGCTGTCCTCTCTGGTCTTCTTCTTTGGGGGGTGCTAAGAAAGCCAAAGTACACAGTTCTGTTTTCCAGTTCTGCCTCCTTCCCATCATCCCGCCTCCATCAGTAAGCTGACCCTACGCTTTACCTGCTGCAGGTTTCAGATGTCCCCTTCTCATCAACTCTACCCACAAACTGTAGGCAGCCTCTAAAATCAGCTTTAGGTCTTGCTGACAAATGACAAGCAGCAGGAGGTAATGCTGATTCCCCCTTCTACCACCCCCACCCCAATTTCCCTGGGTTGCCATAGTGATGGGGCAATGCTACTGCAAAAATAGATAGATGGAAAGAGAAGGATGCCCTAGGGTTGCTAGCTGAGGGTAGAGAAGACTGGAGTAAGGAGCTTTGGCAGATCCAAACTGGTAGATCAGTGTGTCTCCTCTCCGTCAGCTCCAGAGGGCGATTCAGCTCTTATTCCTCTCTGTCAGCCATTGTGGCATTATCCAAGTTGATTGGCCAGGAAATCCCTTCATAGTTCTCAGCTCAGTTCTTCCTATTAAAACAGGTTGACTCTAAAAATGTCTAATATCTATGGTGGACAAGGCTCTGTGTCAGTGGCTGTGACCAGTTCCGTTTCCTCTGTCATTGATGGAGGTGGAGATCACCGGTCCTGCCTTGAAAGACTTGAGTGTGGAGCCTTGACTTCGATTTCTCTCTGAACTCTTACGAGCAATATTAAACTTGCCTTTCTTCTACTGGTCTCTTGTTGTTGTTACTTCTGGTCTTTCATGGTTTTCCCTGCTGGGATGGCCCGTAGCCAGAGATCATAGCTAGAGCTCCTGCCTATCTGGATTTGTCACTAGTGTTTCTACCATGGGATTTCCCCAGGCAGGTTTTATTTAATTCACAAAGGGCCAGAGCAGGCTGGGTGGCAAGGGATAAAGCACTCGGACTGACTAGAGAAAAGAAGGATTTAAAGGAATAAAGAACTGAGACTCTGGGGGATGTGTGTTGATTATGAAAAGAGAAAAGGTAGCTCAAGGAGAGGAAAATTTGGACAGTGCGACACTAAGTAAGGGAAGTAAAGGGGAAAACATACAAAAAATATCAGATCTTAGCTGAGGAAATAGTTGTATCTGCTGGGATGCAGTAAGGGGCAATAAGGCATTGCACTAGGCTTCCAGTACCAGCCTCTGATGTGGTTAAGTGGCCTTGGACAAGCACTTAACACCCTTGTCTGTAAAACCATGATGATCCTTCCTATGCCACATGCTTCAGAGGACTCATAACATAATCATAATAATCCCTTATCCATATATTTTCCAAAGTTTTTATAATGTATCTTAATTACTCTCACATCAATTCTGTTAGTTGTTCATGGCAGATATTCATATCCTCACTTTACAGAGAAGTAAACCAGGCTCAGAGAGGTTCAATGACTTAAGGTCTTACATCTAATAAAACTAGTATAGCTAGTACAGCAAGAGTAAAACCCAAGTGTCATGTAAAGGGACGTGGGAAAGTGTAGATTCTCATAGGAAAGTGAAGTAATTAGTTATCATTTGTGGTAAGCCTTGGTGTGAGTACCGGTGGAGAGAGGGTAAATGTCCCATGGACTTGCCAGACTTGTCAGTTGAATGTAGGATTTTAGGCCATTTTTGCTCCTTGACTCCTCATTTTCTTTTCTTGCTGGAAAACATTTTATTCATTTATGTATTTATTAATTATTATTATTATTATTATTATACTTTAAGTTCTAGGGTACATGTGCATAACGTACAGGTTTGTTACATATGTATACTTGTGCCATGTTGGTGTGCTGCACCCATCAACTCGTCAGCACCCATCAACTCGTCATTTACATCAGGTATAACTCCCAATGCAATCCCTCCCCACTCCCCCCTCCCCATGATAGGCCCCGGTGTGTGATGTTCCCCTTCCCGAGTCCAAGTGATCTCATTGTTCAGTTCCCACCTATGAGTGAGAACATGCGGTGTTTGGTTTTCTGTTCTTGCGATAGTTTGCTGAGAATGATGGTTTCCAGCTGCATCCATGTCCCTACAAAGGACACAAACTCATCCTTTTTTATGGCTGCATAGTATTCCATGGTGTATATGTGCCACATTTTCTTAATCCAGTCTGTCACTGATGGACATTTAGGTTGATTCCAAGTCTTTGCTATTGTGAATAGTGCCGCAATAAACATACGTGTGCATGTGTCTTTATAGCAGCATGATTTATAATCCTTTGGGTATATACCCAGTAATGGGATGGCTGGGTCATATGGTACTTCTAGTTCTAGATCCTTGAGGAATCGCCATACTGTTTTCCATAATGGTTGAACTAGTTTACAATCCCACCAACAGTGTAAAAGTGTTCCCATTTCTCCACATCCTCTCCAGCACCTGTTGTTTCCTGACTTTTTAATGATTGCCATTCTAACTGGTTTGAGATGGTATCTCATTGTGGTTTTGATTTGCATTTCTCTGATGGCCAGTGATGATGAGCATTTTTTCATGTGTCTGTTGGCTGTATGAATGTCTTCTTTTGAGAACTGTCTGTTCATATCCTTTGCCCACTTTTTGATGGGGTTGTTTGTTTTTTTCTTGTAAATTTGTTTGAGTTCTTTGTAGGTTCTGGATATTAGCCCTTTGTCAGATGAGTAGATTGCAAAAATTTTCTCCCATTCTGTAGGTTGCCTGTTCACTCTGATGGTAGTTTCTTTTGCTGTGCAGAAGCTCTTTAGTTTAATTAGATCCCATTTGTCAATTTTGGCTTTTGTTGCCGTTGCTTTTGGTGTTTTAGACATGAAGTCCTTGCCCATGCCTATGTCCTGAATGGTATTACCTAGGTTTGCTTCTAGGGTTTTTATGGTATTAGGTCTAACATTTAAGTCTCTAATCCATCTTGAATTAATTTTCGTATAAGGAGTAAGGAAAGGATCCAGTTTCAGCTTTCTACTTATGGCTAGCCAATTTTCCCAGCTGGAAAACATTTTAAATGTTCAAATTACCCTATAGCTGTTGTACAAATACTCCAGTGCCTTCTGAGTCCCATCTGGGGCCTCTCTAACTCTGTTCCAGAGATGCGGGCCTTGGCTGAACTCCTGGGCCCCTATGGCATGAAGTTCCTGAGTGAAAACCTGATGTGGCATGTGACCTCTCAGATTGTGGAGCTGAAGGTACTATGGAAATAAGCCCCTGGGAAAAAGGTCCTACAAGAGGGTGGGTATAGGAGACTGGGCATGGGGGGAGACGTAACATTGATCTCTTCTTTTCCTGCTTAATGTCTCTGTGTTCCTGGGCTGCAGAAGCTGGTGGTGGAAAACATGGACATACTTGTTCAGATCAGATCCAACTTTAGCAAGCCGGACTTGATGGCTTCTCTGCTGCCCCAGCTGACAGGTAAGCGTCCTCTTGCCCTACAGTGAGAAGAAGCTGTGGAATCACATTGCAGATGACAGGGGTTTTCAGGAATCTGGAGGCTAGGCTGGGTCTGTAGAATCAAAACCATCACCAATGTCCTAAATTCTCTTTTCTAACACCCTTCTTTCTCCTCAGGGGCTGAAAATGTGCTAAAGCGCATGACCATCATTGGGGTTATCCTCAGTTTTAGGGCCATGGCCCAAGAGGGACTTCGGGAGGTGAGTTGGTGGGGAGGGGTCTGTCACAGAGTAACAGATACCTCTGCGGGTAGGATTTGTGTGAGAAACTGTGGAAGTATTGCAGGAATCAGTTTTAACTTCTGCTTCAGAAGGGGTTGGTGAGCATTGAGAAGAGGGAGCATAATTTGGCAGAGATCCTAGAAGATCCCTGGGAATAAATGAGCTTAGGAAACCTAGAGGCATAAGGAGAGGGATGGCTTGGAAAGCTGGCTAGGTTCTTATGTAAGTTGAGTGCCCCTCCTTTTTTTAATTTCTACCTATTTTTGAAGGCACTGGTCATGGTCTTGTGGACTCATTTATCTTCTCTTTCCTTCAGGTTTTCTCCTCCCACTGCCCATTTCTTATGGGTCCCATTGAGTGCTTGAAGGAGTTTGTCACTCCAGACACAGACATCAAGGTATGGGGGAGTGCAAAGTAGAATCTAATTAGGAGACTTTTGTTGTTGAAGAGGAGGTAGCTAGGATCTTGTAAGGGAGAGCGCGTTCTGAAGAATACCACAGGGATAAGGGCGAGGGTTCGAGTAGGAAAACTGGTCAGATGAATATTCTTGGAGAGAAAGAGCAGAGCTGGTAAGACGTAGGGGGATGGAGAGAAGTGGGAGGCTGGGAGACACTGTGAGGGTTGGGGAGACATTACTGGAGGGGAAGGGGTAAGACCTGGGGTAGTATCTGTAGGTTTTCACCTGACATGAGCACTGTGCAAATTAGGTAAACTATGTGCAAACAAGTCCGCTCTTTAGTCTTGAGGTTAGGTACTGTTTGTAGGAAGATTTGTTCCTTTCATTCCTACCCACCCTGCCTGCCCTCAGTCTTTTCTTTTCCTGTCCTTTTCCTCCTCCCATTGTTAAGCTTTCTGGTTCCTCTATGTCTGTATCACCTGTCTCAGACCCCCATTTACTACAGGAGATGGTGAGAGGAAGAAGGGCTTCCGCAGGCAATATAAGTTAAGCATCCATTTCCCACCCATCTCCCACTTTTGAGTCATCTTGTCTTTTGAATCATCTGGAACTAAGAAGTATGCTATGGCAGGAAATACAGCTAAAGCCTAGGAATAGAATCCTTCAAATGCATAGGGCAGGCTCCTTCTCTTATAATTGATTCCTTTAACGGAGAGTGGTCTGTGAAAAGAGGAAACTGGTTAGCAGGAAGAATTAAAGTTATGTGTTAAGAAAATCTTCCTTACTTTGAGATCAAAAGAATTGTGAAATTTCCCCCTATATCTTCCCAAAATCATGAGGGGCAAGTGACTATGGGGGCAGTGTTTCACTGGGAGAGCTGCCCCTCTTGAAAGGTCTTTGATTTTAAGCTGAGCCTGGATTTCTGGCAGCTGCTGATGTTGGTCCAAATGCTCTAGGCTGTCAGGAGCTTGTCTAGCTGATATCTCCTGGGTAGCTCCAATCTTTAGGCTCTGCCTGCCTGTGAAAATAAGAAGGTAGGGGCAGAGAGGGAGGATGGCCTGTCCATCAGAGATGCTGTTACTGCCTCAGAGGAGCAAGAAGATTAGAAGAAGAAAAAATAAAATCCCTTCAACCATCCCTTTCTTCCCCCTGAAAACCTCATGAACCAGGTTCCTTATCTCCGAGGCCATGGTTCCACAAATGGTCATTTAGGCAGTAGGGGATTTAAATAAGGGCAGAACAGAAGGTGGCAAAGATTTGGCTTCTGTGTCAGTACCACAGGCAAAGTGTGTGTATGTTGTTATGTCTGTGGGATTCTTTTTTTTCCTTGAGACAGAGTCTCGCTGTGTTGCCCAGGCTGGAGTACAGTGGTGGAATCTCAGCTCACTGCAACCTCTACCTCCTGGTTCAGGCAATTCTCATGCATCAGCCTCCCGAGTTCCTCCTGGAACTACAGGTTCATGCCACCACACCTGGTGAATTTTTGTATTTTTAGTAAAGACAGGGTTTCACCAGGTTGGCCAGGCTTTTCTCCAACTCCTAGACTCAAGTGATCCACCCACCTTCATGAGCCATCCCTCTGGCCAGTCTGTGGAATGACTTGCATGAGATAGTTAGTTGTCCAGTATTAAAACAATTATCCTTGTTCTTTCAAAAAACATTTTTTTTTACGTCTAAAAAGAGGTCTAGAGATTTAGTATGGGAGTAGGGGCTTGAGGCTGTGTCCTGGGAACCTGACTGTAAGTACAATGAGAGATTCAGGTATCAATCAATCAATCTTTATTGAATGCCTTCTATGTGCTCAGCATTATGTTAAACACTAGAGAAGATAAAGAGAAATGTAAAACTCCTGGCTTTAAGATAAAGGAAGAGGATGGAAAGGCATCACATTTCCTCTGTTAGTCACTTGGGTCGATGCTTTACACGTGTGGTCTAATTTAATCTTCACAACAACCATGTAAGGTAAATGTTATGCCAGTTTTATAGATGGGAAAACGAGGGATCAAAGAGGTTAAGTAACTTTTAGTCAAGGTCACACACTTAATAAGTGGTGTTGCTAGGACTTGAACCCAGATCTCTCTCACTCCAAAGCTTTTTTCTTCCTTCACTATGCCATGAGGTTTTAAAAAACTATCTATTTGGGGAGATAAGGAGATGAGTCTTGCATTCTATCTAAAAAGATAACTAACACCAGATGCTGTGTGTGATCAATGCTAAGTCAGTGGTACCGACATTAAGGAGGGAAGAGCTGGGTTTGGGCTGAAGTAATCAGGTAGGGCTTGACAGAGAAGATGAGATCTAAGGGATGGATGTAACATATATATACACATAAATAGAGGAGAGAAAAGGACCCTCGAAAGAGGGAAGCACCTGAATCAGAGTATGGGAGAGGAAGTTGTAGTTTGGGGACAGTGAATAAATTATCCTGACGGCACCGAATGAAGGAAGTATTTAGGAAAATGAAGTTGAAAAAGTAAATTTGTACTATGGGGTGTCCTAAAAGTTTTTTTTTTCCCCCCTGTATGATAGGGAGAGCTATGAAGGGAATATATAGAAAAGATTATAATAAACCAGAAAGTTTAAAATCTGTGATTAGCTAGGCATTGTGGCTCATGCCTGTAATCCTAGCACTTTGGGAGGCTCAGGCAGGAGGATTTCTTGAGCCTAGGAGTTTGAGACCAGCCTGGACAACATAGTGAGACTCTCTCTCTCTTTCTCTACATATATATAAAAGTATCTTTTAAAAAAATCAAACCTGTGATTAAGAAGTCCTGGCTACGCATTCCTCTGTCAAGCTGTTATGTCCTGCGAATCCTCTTTAGAATGCTGTTTTCTTCTCTCCAGGTGACCCTGAGTATCTTTGAGCTGGCATCTGCTGCAGGTGTGGGCTGTGACATTGACCCAGCCTTGGTGGCTGCCATTGCTAATCTGAAAGCTGGTGAGATTGGGGAAAGGGGGCATGATTTGGGAAAGGAGGGCTTGGGCCTTATTTTGGGTGGAAAAATGTCAATGTCAAAGAAGGCTTTATTTGAGATTATATATTCAGAGGATATAAGCTGAGAGCGAAGGAAGGACCCTAACCTTCAGAAAATACTTACATAGTCAATTTAGATTTATCCTCAGGTTTCAACTAGTTGATCTACCAATCAGCTAAAAAGCACTAAGTGAGAGTCTGCGTGGTGCTCAGCAAGTGCTCAAAGGCATTTACTATCTGGTTGGGAAAATAAGATTAATGCAAATAAAACAATGAGAGAACAATACAAAATAGTGAGTTGTGTGGTATAGCACCCAAGTTCCCCATAGTGATTTTGTGCTTTCTCCCTCCACATAATCAACTTGACGCTGTTTATTTCTTCCCATGTCACACTTGACACTTATATTTTCCATTACACATTTCCTCTGATTGCATTCATACCTATACACACTCAGAACAGGATGAACCAAAGGGCTAGGATTAAGGCCTTTCAAAATGGCCAGACTTACCCTTCTTCTTCTCTCAAGGTGGGCGAGAATCTTTCCTCTTCTTCCTGCCTCTCCACTCCATCAGGCAGTGGACAGGCATCCTAGGGTTGCACTGTACATCAGCAGAGCCCTTGGCTGAAAGTTCTGCCCTGTCACCAGGGAGGCCTCCAGGACTGGACTCAGGCCGCTCACTGTAGGTGGATGCTAGTCCTGTTTCTTCAGGAAAATTAAGTAATAACTTGCTCATAGGGCTTTATAAAGTGTTTTCATAGATATTTTCTCGTGTGATCCTCACAGCAATTCTGTGAAGTAGGACCCCTGTAACAGATAACTCCTGTTTACTGACCTTATTCATTTTTCTTCTTTTCCTTTTTCCCTCTCACCAGATACTTCATCTCCTGAGGAGGAATATAAGGTGGCCTGCCTGCTCTTGATCTTTCTGGCAGTTTCCGTCCCATTCCTCGCCACCGACCCTTCTTCCTTTTATAGCATTGAGAAGGATGGTAAGTAAGGGGTAGGTTTGAGACACCAGTGCTATTCAAGTTAGTGTCCTGGGATAGAGAGAGGAGACAGAGACACTGGAAAATATAGGTTTCTGACTTGGGTGTAAAGTTCTATCTCAAAAAGCACTTGAAGGCTGGGCACGGTGGCTCACGCCTATAATCCTAGCACTTTGGGAGGCCAAGGTGAGGTGGGTAGATCACTTGAGCCCGTGAGTTCAAGACCAGCCTAGGCAATGTGATGAAACCCTGTCTCTACAAACATAAATAAACTAGCCAGGCATGGTGGCCTGTAGTCCCAGCTACCTGGGAGGCTGAGGTAAGAGGATGGCTTGAGCCCAAGAGGTCAAGGATGCAGTGACCCACGATTGCACCACTGCACTCCAGCGTGATGACAGAGCAAGACCCTTTTTTCTTTTCCCCCGAGACGGAGTTTTTGCTCTTGTTGCCCAGGCTGGAGTGCAATGGCGCAATCTCGGCTCACTGCAATCTCTGCCTCCCAGGTTCCAGCAATTCTCTTGCCTCAGCTTCCCAAGCAGCTGGGATTACAGACATGCGACACTATGCCAGGCTAATTTTGTATTTTCAGTAGAGACGGGGTTTCTCCATGTTGGTCAGGCTGGTCTCGAACTCCCGACCTCAGGAGATCCATCCGCCTCGGCCTTCCAAAGTGCCGGGATTACAGGTGTGAGCCACTGCGCCTGGCCAAGATCCTGTCTTAAAAAAAAAGGGAAAAAAAACACCCCCTACCCTTAAAAACAAAACGAAACAAAACAAAACACCACACTTGAGAATGAGAGAATAAACTATGCATAATTCGATTTCAATAAGATTTCATAGGAATATCATGCCTCTAATCCCAAAATGCCTTCTCATCCTTTTGGTGTCAAATACCGGTGGCTCAGCCTGACAACATGAGAAATTACCAGTTTGGGTCATCCTGGAGTGACTTACTTTGTCATTTCCTTTTGTTTCTCTCCATCTATATAAATAATAACCTAGGTTACAACAACAATATTCATTGCTTGACCAAAGCCATCATCCAGGTGTCTGCTGCCCTCTTCACGCTGTACAACAAGAACATTGAAACTCACCTCAAGGAATTTCTGGTGGTGAGTGGGTCTAGGTTATAAAGAATGGAAGACTGCAAAGGGCTGGAACTGGTTTGACTTAAATCTGTAGACAATTATCGTTGAACAGGCTTTTGAGCTTAACTTCCCATCTAATTCATTCAGTAAAGAATGAGAATCTACTATATGAAAGGCAAGGGTTTCTTCTAAATTTCCTAACAGCTGGTGTTTCAGCCTTTGCTTGAATATTTGGAAAGATCATTGGACAAAGAGTCAGTAAATCTGAGTTCTAGTTTTGGGTCTGCCATTAAGTAGTTGTGTGACCTCTGAAGTGCCAAGCTTTTGGGGCCTCGGTTTTTTCATAAATAAAACAGGCAGATTAAACTGAACCCCTGAATTCAGATTAAACCGAACCCCTGAATTCAGATTAAACCGAATGTATGCACCTTGGTGTGCATCAGAATATCCTGGGGAGCTTGTTAAAATACAGATTCCTGATCTTTACACCAGACCTACTGAGTTAGAATATTGTAGGGTGAGTCTAGGCCTCTGTGTTTTTAATAAGGCCTCTGGGAGATCAAATGCACATTAAAGTTGTAGAGTCACTGAGTCTTATAATCTCTAAGGCCCTTTCTAAGTCTGTACGGACAAATGGTCAATGACTACTTTTCAAACTTTAATATATATCAGAATCACCTGGAGAGTTTCTAATTTAGTAGATTAGGGTGGGGTTGAATAATATGCATTTCTGTTCCCAGGTAATCTTGATGGTGCTTGTCTGGGGATCTCACTAGAACCAATGGTCTAGATTTCTAGGGACTGGAACTTAAAATTAGGCAGCAGATTCCACTGTAGGTCATATCCAATTTCTTTGAAAAAAATGTTAAAAAAAATTTGACTCCCTGTAACTCTCACCATGGATCTTAGTTTTACCTCTGGGAAAACTCAGAATAGAATAGGCCCTAGAATTTTCCATTCTGCATCCTCCATGGAGGAATTTTGTTCATATACTTCTGATACATGGTCCATTCCCCTCTGCCTGCTTGAGCATTCTCAGTAACAGAGAGCTTATTTCTTGCAAAGTATGGCCCCATTGTAAGAACCAGGGCCTCTGTCTCCTTCCAGGAGGAAACACAGCAGATCATATTGTTCTCTCAGGAATTATACCCTCATCCTGAGAAGTGCATGTCAGGGATCATAAGCTTGGTTAGAGTGTCTCTATTTAAGCTGAGGCACCCAACCAGATAGACCTGGCTCAGCATCTTAAATGCAAAGAGGATTCACACCAGATCTCTGAGAAGGGGTGAGAAGGGAATCCCCCTGCCCTTGCCTTTCCTTTTATCCTCTTTGTTTGCTAAATGCAGGTCACCTGGGCCTGTGATACAATGAATCATGTTTCTTCTTTGACCCGCTGGGGGTTTGGGGATGATGGAGATGACAGCCATTTGGGAGTTGACTGGAGAGTACCATGAGTGCTGTGTCTAAATCAGAGGCTCAACACTGCCTCTAGTCAGATAGGGAGTCAGTTGTAAACAGCCTGATGACAGTGGTGTCTAGAGGCTGCCTAGGAAAAGATAGGTTAATCTCCTGACATACATCACCTGCCTTTGCTCTAGGTTGTTTCCTTACCCCTTGCAATCTCTCCCCCTAGCACTCCTGGCAACCTGTTGTCTGTACTGGGAGGTCCATGAGATCCAGGCTGGCTTACAGGCAGCATGTATCTCTGAAACCTAGGAGATTTGCCACTTTTTCACCCTGAGTCTTCAGGAATATTCTAGCACTTCTTAACTCTCCTCCTTGATCTTTTCTTAACTTCCTGCAGCCTGAGGCTGTTTGATACTGACCTCTATAAAAATCTGCTTTACAAATTCCCTTACAGGTGGCCTCTGTCAGCCTCTTGCAGCTGGGCCAGGAGACTGACAAGCTTAAAACCAGAAATCGCGAGTCCATTTCTCTGCTCATGCGCTTGGTATGTATCTTATTTCAGCTGGTCTGAGAACAGGGAGTGGAAGGGCCAGAGTGGAAGGGCCAGAGGGAGACTATCTTCAGGGTCTTTGCATCCTTGCCATTGTCATCACCCAAAAGCATTAACTAAGGACTTAATTCTGCATAACCCTCTGAGTCTAGTTCTCACATTCTGGTTAACATTCTAAACTTGTCCTATAATGCCAGAGTAGAGTCTTCAAGGACTTCTGCAAGACAGGGCCTTCCTGGCCCCTAAGCTGGCTGGGCCCGTGTCCTGCAATATTCCTGAGTCTGACCTGGTACGGCGGCTATGCCCCTTTTTGGTAATTACCTGTCCAGTACAAGTTTGGTTTCACTGGACAATTTTGTACCACTGCCTTTCTTGTCTTTAAGAGTACTATGAAAAGAGTGCTGGATAACACAGAGCTGAACTCAGAGGTTGAGGGGTGGGAGCTCAGAGCAGGGAAAGGATTTTAGCTAAAAAGCTGTAAGGCAGGGAGCCTGGTGGGCCGTGAATCAGGCAGTTCTGCTGTCTCTTCTCCTTGCTTCCCAAGCTGTGGGCTTCTCTCTACTCTGGCAGAAAGTTTTGGGAACTCTGACTCAGTTAACTTTGAAAGTTTTTTTCCTCGTGACCCTGTTTCCCTCTTCAACACTCTTACTCACTCTTTTGCTCTGATTCTCCATGTTAGTAATGCACTTAGATATGGACAGGAAGGGCTCTTGCCCTGGGCCCAGTGTTTAAAAGGCCCCCCTCTAGTAGAGTGTTCTGGGGCCCTCCTCTGGCCAAAGGGAAGGGGTAGAGCCTGTACGCCACCTTGAGGCCCATACGAGAGGTATCTGGGACCCCAGAATACTTTGCTAAGCAGCTTCAGCCCACTTGTAGGGCCTGTGTTAAACTTCCTCCTACTGAGGCGGACCGTCCTACTGGTGGATGTATCTCTAGTGCCCAAGGGACATATGGCTGGAGTTTAGATATGCAGATAAGGAAGTCTACAAGTACACACAAAATCCCTCTAACTGAGGGTGGGAGGAGAAGAGGGACTGGGCTGGAAGCTTGTTTCTTCCCTTCACCCTGTTCTGGTGCAGAACTTGGAGGAGTCCAAAAATTCTTAATTCAAACCTGGGCTTCCATAAGACTACAAAGGAGCATTGTGAAGGTTGAAAGCTAGAATATACTAGTTCGTTAGCTTGATTTAATTAGTCATATGATATGTGGACCTCCATCTGTATTCTTGTCCCAGGCCCAGAAATGCTAGGGGCCAGGGATTCCTGGGACTCCTCCAGGTCTCCTTGAAATACACAGGCACTGAGTGGTATTTATGCCTTAGTTTCTCCAGCTAGAAAAAGGCCTAGGCTGGGCTGGTTAAGGATTATGATAGAGAGGAGAATGGACATGGGGGTGGATGTATTTGTGTGGGATGTGTGTGGTGAGGCAGGAGGGCAGAGGAGGTAGATGAGGGCAGAGTGAGGGCAGTGCCCGTGGTGGTGGGCTATGTGGGGCACAATACATAGAGCAGCAGCATGGCCTTGGCAAGGCAATGAGTCCTTCTGAGACTTCGGCTCTCTGTCCATAAAAGTGGGTAATAATCCTTGTGGTAGAGTGGTTAGAATTCATAAGATATGTGTGAAAGTGCCTAGTACGTAGTAGATGCTGAGCAAATGTTAGTTCCCACTGTCTGCTGCTCATTTTAGGTTCTGGATGATTTTGGCATGACTCTTCACTTCCTCAGGTAGTTTTCACCCCTGTCAGGTTGGAGGTGATTCTGTATTACCCCCCTGTATTCTTACCTCCTTCTGCTTAGACCCCTTCCAACACCCCAAAATGTGGAAAGTGTTTGCCCCTGTGGCCTTCCAATGAGGCCAACAGAGTGACAGGAACAGAGCTGGGATCCGGCACTTTTTGTTGGAGGGGGAAACTAGAGGGACTAGTTGCTGTAAAGCAATTTAAATGCAAATGTTTCCATTGAGAAACTAGAAATGACTGAAGGCAAAGGAGCTGTATTCTGAGTTGAGAGGCTACTCATGTAGCCTCAAATTCTGGACAGCACTTCTGTCCCCGGGGTCTTTCTGTTTTGGCTGTCAAGCCTGGGCCATGCCTCAGTGTTGCCAGTCTGTTCCTGGTACAGGTTTCCTGGGGAAAGACACGGCTCTTATAGAATCATGGAATCCTAGATGCCAGAACCAGACCAGATCCTGGCAATTAGTCCAGTACTTACAAGTCATAGATGAGCAAACTGAGGAATAGGGAGGGAAAGAAGATAATCAAGGTCTCCCCTAAAATAGATGGCAGATTTGGGACTAGAACCCAAGTTTCTTGGTCATCACTCTAGGGCTGTTTCCACTCCCATAAACTTCTGCTACTTGGGAGCCCTGTTATTTTCTTGTGCTTCATGGAGAATAGAAAGTCTTGGGCCAGTGGATTCACTTGAAGTCATTATTCATTTCCCTGTACCTGAGGGTAGCACCCTGGAGAAGACAGCTCATCTCTTTCCCGGCTGAGTGTTTGAAAGTCTTGCCTAGCAAGAAATTCTTTGATATTTAACCTGTCATCAGGGCTACAGTTTTACCAGCAGATTTCCCTTCCTTCAGCCTGCAGTTTCTACTCTTTTGCAGCTGTTGTGTGTGCATGTGTTTGAGAACAGGAAAATCTTACACATTTTAAAACTTGAAAGGACTTCAGAGAGAGAAACACGTTAGAGTAGATCTGGTAGATTCTCTTTCCTTAGTGAATTTTCAGGACTTGGAGTACCAGATACATTGCGGAGAACCCATCTGTGTGAATTGCCAGAGGATATGGGACACCTCTCCAGAGTGTGTTTTTAGTCTCATTACCTCTTGGATAAGGAAGGCACTGAAGGAAATATACCCTGTCCCTTCCTCAGGGATGGGGACCCTCCAGTCCAACACTAGGCTATGCTGCTCTTCATGAACATGCCCTGTCCACCCACCTCCCCTCTTCACCCTCACCCCCACTGTCATTCTTACCCAGGCATCTTGATCTATCTTCCTGCTTGGCTGTGGGGGCTGCTGGGATTACCACAGCATGCAGGCTTCTAATTAAACTAATTAATCATGCCTGCTCCTTTATGCAGCATCCTTACTGTTCCCCAAGCACCGTACTGAGAGAGGGAGGAGACTGAGGCCCAACACAAGAGGACCCATGTGAATTCCAGGCCCCTCTTCCGTGGCCTGCAGTGGTGTTTGTTCCTCTCGCTGCAAAGCTTTGTAATTAGCACTTTTATACATCTTTACCTGCATCTGTGTGCTGCCCACCCACATGTGATTTAGCATCCAGACTTGGAGAGAATGGGTTTTGCTGCCACTAGGAAAGTGGTTCTTTCCTGCCTTCTGCTTCTGTGCCCTTCACATAGTCCTGATGAGGGGGTCAGGGTCAATGATAATGGAGCTGAATATGCCACATTGCCTTCCTGGAGCCAAACCAAGTGAGGGAGGAAGAGGGGGGTGTGATTTGGAACCCTGTTCATTTGTAACCTCAGGGCCTCAGAGGGCCTGGGAACTATGCAAAGAGGAACAGGGTATCACAGACAAATGCCCTACCTGAGGTTCTCATCTCTTGGCCCCATCTCTTCCAGGTGGTGGAGGAGTCATCCTTCCTGACCCTGGACATGCTGGAGTCCTGTTTCCCTTATGTCCTGCTTCGAAATGCCTATCGGGAGGTGTCCCGGGCCTTCCACCTAAACCGAGTTTCTGCCAATACCCACTGAAGAGCCCTTCGGACCTTCCTAAACCCTTGCCATAGTGGAAGCTGTGGTCACTTTCTCAAGGGGTGGGAATGGGGTGGGGTCACTAAGAAGAGGGTCGGAAGCCAGAGTTGATGAACAGATCTGTGGAAGAACAATCCAGGGCTGAGAAATCGTAGAGCAGTGAGGCAGGCTGGGGGCATGGAGGACAGTTTATGGAAAAAGTTAGGGTGTGGGGCCACTTGTGTGAATTTTACAATGAAAAAAGGAGTAATGTACAGGTATATTTTCTATCTTCTGGTGACTTGAGCTTGAGCTCTGACAGGCATGGGCCTCTCCGACCTTCATCACTATTCTTAGGATAATGCTGGCAGGCAGAGATGATCAATCATCATATTAAACCATAATGAGCTTATAATCCTCCCACTGGAGTTGCTATTGTCTCCTGCACATTCATTAGGACCATTATCTTCTCTCTTCGTTTTTCAAATGTGTTCAGCAAACATTCAGCCTGCCCCAACTGCAGAGTAGCAGCAAAGGAGCCCCTCTTTTCCTTTGTGGGGCTCTTCAAGGAGTCACTGGGTCTCTTCCTTTGCCCCCAGCTTGACTGCATTTCCTACTGGGGCAAGGAGGAAGTGCCCTTCAGAGATGTTCACTGCCCACCTGCTCTACTACATTGTTACAAGTTCTGTCTTGCTTTAACCCCTCCTGCTTTGATATCTCCACAACCCAGAGCAGAGGGTCAGTTAGTCTTCGTCAATTCTAGGTCACATGACAACTGATTGGACCAGACTCAGGTGGGGTTTCCCTCCTGTACCCTTTGCGGGTACTCTGCCCTTTATTGGGAGGGACTAATATAACCCCCAAATCCTTTTGTCAGCCTGGGTACAGCTGTTGCTCCAGACAGGGATTTCTCTTCTGGATCTTGAATTTCACAGACCTCATTAGGATGTACGGCCCTGAGAGTGGGTATCCTTGAGGGAGTACAAGCTGTTTTAACTTAGCCCTTTTCTGCGCTAATTAGAATTTCAAGTGTCACAGAGCCTGGGGCATTCAAGATAGCACTAAACTAGGTTTACTTAACTCCTTGGCAGGAAATAGTGGCCCCCATGCATCACTTCTGTGCACCCACTGCCAGGAAGAAGTGGAGAAACAGATCATGTATGTCACAGGTCTAGAGTGGTTGGAATTGATAAATATAATTAGCTAGTTGATTAAGTAGGGTCATGTCCATACTTTCATGATGAAAGGGAAGCAATTGTTGGTTTTCAGCAAAAACCATTCAGACTTCATTAAGCCTATTTGATAGCTATGTTGGGGTTTTGTACATGTGTTTGCTTTTTATTTCTTGAGACCCATGCTTAGTCAATACTTTCTTAACTTGGCACCCATAATCAGCACACAAATTTTTCTTAGCAACAATTGTCTGCTCTTTAGGATGGAAGCGATAGAGAATCCTGCTTCGTGGATCAGCTAATCCTCCTTCCTTGCTATGGGAAGGACCTTATGTTTTAAAGGGTGATTCAGTGTCAGTCTTGTGAGACTGAGAGTAAAGTTGATGAGGAAGAGAAGGCTCAGAAGTATCTGAACAACTACTCTATATGCTTATATTTTTCTGCTTCAGGGGATAGAGATCCTTCCTCCATCTGCATGTAGAACTGCTTAAGAGGAGCCTCCCAGAGGACAGCAAGACAAGTTGCTGCAGGGGGATGTAGGGCAGACAAAACTCCTTTTTTTAAAACTGAAAATTTTATTGAGATAGTTAATCCACCTGCGCTTGTAAGAAATAATACAGAGAAATTCTGTTTTCCTTTACGCAGTTTCCCTGAATGGTAACATCTAGCAAAACTATAGTACACTGCCACAACCAGGATCACTGACATTGATATAATCTACTGATCTTGTTCAGATTTCTTTCCCCAGTTTTGCTTATGTTCATTTCTGTGTGTGTGCACATGTGTGTGTTATCTATTTCTATACAGCTTTATCACGTGCAGGTTTGTGTGTCTGCCACTACAGTCAAGATACAGAACAGGCCAGGTGCAGTGGCTCATGCCTGTAATCCCATCTCTTTGGGAGGCCAAGGCAGGTGGATCACCTGAGGTCAGGGGTTTGAGAGCAGCCTGGCCAACATAGTGAAACACCGTCTCTACTAAAAATATAAAAACTAGCCAGGTGTGATGGCGCGTGCCTGTAGTCCCACTACTCAGGAGGCTGAGGCAGGAGAATCACTTGATCCCGGGAGATGGAGGTTGCAGTAAGCCGAGATCCTGCCAGAGCACTCCAGGCTGGGTGACAGAGCGAGACTCTGTCTCAAAAAATAAATAATAATTTTAAAAAAGATACAGAACAGTTCCATTACCACAAGGATCCTTCGTATTGCTCTTTTATAGCCATGCCTGCTTCCCCTCCTACAACCCCCTTCCCCATCTCTAGCCCCTGGTAACACAGATATATTCTCTATTTCTAAAAGTTTATAATTTGATATATCTTTTTGTAAACATATAATTATACACACATATTTCCCTACCACTTATACTTTTTTAAAGTGCTTTGACATCCTTATAGCAATTCTGCAAGGTAGCCAGGGAAGGCTTTCCTATTTCAGGTCAGAAAACAGATTTAGAAATATTAAATGACTGAATGAAGGTCACATGTTTAGCAGTAGAACTAGAACTGGGACCCAAGTCTGAGGTTCAGTCCTAGACCTTTTCCACCTGCCCGGTCTGCCTCTTCACAAGGGAAGACTTGGTTTTTAGAATCCAGAGACCTTAGAAGGAGCAAATTGGAGAAGGTGAGGACATGATGGCCTTTACCACCGGAAGCAAAAAGTGAATGTCTAGAGGTGAAGGGACAGAGAAGTAACAGGACCCATCAGTATTTCAGGCAATTTGCTTCCTTTACCAGGAGCATCTCTGTCCTCTTACAACCTGGGACACAATAAGTTGTTTCCCACACAATAAGTTGTGTCTCAGTTGTAAGTTTGCTTTACTTAGGCCCAAAGGAAGTAAAGAATGGATATCAGAAATCTCACCCCATTTGTTTTGTTTTACAGGCACAGAGTAGGTTCTAGCCTCAGCATTTTCATTAATGCAGTGTTTTCATTAAAATCTCCATTAACTTGTTTGCAGCAATAAGATGGAATTATCCCTCCCACAAGGCCTGGGGCAAGATACTTGCAGAGGTGCTCCCTTTTGTTTGGACAGTAGAAACACTGCCTCCCCTGCCACGGTGTTCAATCCAGTTGGCAGGTGGGCCAACTTCAAAGTGCAGAAGGAGCTGAGTGTGGTGGCTCACCCCTGTAATCCCAGCACTTTGGGAGGCAGGCGGATTGCTTGAACTCAGGAGTTTGAGACCACTCTGGGCAACATAGTGAAACCCTGTCTCTACAAAAATACAAAAAATTAGCTGGGCATGGTGGCTGTTGCCTGTAATCCCAACACTCTGAGAGGCCGAGGTCAGTGGATCCCTTGAGCTCAGGAGGTTGAGATCAGCCTGGCCAACATGGCGAACTCCGTCTCTATAAAAAAATGCAAAAACTAGCTGGGCATAGTGGCTCTCGCCTGTAGTCCCAGCTACTTGGAAGGCTGAGTTGGGGAGGATCGCTTGAGTCCAGGAGGCAGAGGTTGCAGTGAGCCAAGATGATGCCATTGCACTCCAGTCTGGGCAACAGAGCGAGAGCCTGTCTCAAAAAAAAAAAAAAAAACAAAAAAAAAACCCCAAGGTGCAGAAGGTCCAGGGCCTGGCCAAAGGGATGATGCCCTGAAGCACTTTGCATTGCAGGAAGGGAACAACTGTGCTGTGAACACCAGGGTCCAGGAGGGAGGAGGTCCCAGCTACGGACAAGGCTTCCTTCACCTTAGGTCCTCATACTTATATCAGTTCTTCTCCAACAAAGTTTGACTTTGAGAAGAAGCTGGCACATGGCTGAAATGCACTCACGCGGTTGGGGGAAGAGTGTTCTTCCAGTCCTCCTCCCCACAGGGCCTCCTGCTTCTCCTAAGTACCTGTCATCAAAGGAGATGAAGATGAATCCCCCTTCAGCCCCCACACCTCAATGAGTTGTCAAGTACTCTCCCTCCCACTTGAATAGGAAGCAGGAGCAGCAGGCCAGGTTGCAGGTTGAGGAAGTCAGAAGTTAACTTGAGCTGAGTTTGCAGCTCTGGAGAGATTGAGGAGCAGACTTTTCTCTTGTCACTTTGGAAGGAGAGGATTGTGAGGCTGCCCCTTTAAATAGCACTCCCGTAGGAGGCAGATCACATCCATCCGTCACCTGCTGCCAAAGCATCATTTTTGGTCTCTATCAAACTCAAAGCTTGTTGGAAAGGATTGTGGGGTTAGGGGAGTGAGGAGGCAGAGCCTCCTAGGGGTAGGGGGCAGTTTAGAAGCTGAAAAGGAGAGGAATGAGAAGGAGCCTGGGAATGGTGGGGGTTGGGGACAAAAGGAAAAGACAGGGAGAGAATAGTTGTCTTTTGAACCTCGGAGTGGAACAAGTATACCCTATTCTTATCTCTTTAGGGATGCAGCAAGGCAGAAATGGGATTGTATTGCAACAAGAGGAATGAGGTTGAGACTAAACACTAGGACTGGTGACTAAGGAAAGTGAAAGAGAGCCACAGAGTGAAAAAGGCTCGTAGACTTGGCTCTGGTTTTATCACTTACTCTCTGTGGGACTGTATAATTTTTCTGGGTTAGTTTAGTTAGTTCCCATTTATTTTTATTTTTGCTTTTTCCATCAAACTGTATTGTCTATGAAGTTTTCCCATTTATTAAATGAAGGGGATTAGAGTAGATGAACTCTAATGTCTCTTTCATGAATAACTTTGTGTGTGTGTATGTGTGTGTGTGTGTGTGAGAATTAGCCTTAAAATAAGTCAGGAGCAGGGGGTCTTGGGAAAGCAGGATGTTCCATTGTGTTAACAAGAAATGTTGAGAGATCCCTGTGGATGTACATCTTGCCTCTTTCCCACCTGTTCTAGTTTAAAGACCTGCCTAAATTTGGAGACTCCTTAGTTCTAATCCTAATTTACTAATTAGAACTCTTTAGCACCATCCTAATTTGCAATTCTTTTGTTGTTTCCAGCCCATTTCATTTTCAGTTGATAAGGAGGGGATTACTCCCAAATTTTCAGAAATGGGCTGTGTAGTAGGAGTGTGACTAGGGTCTCAGATGCAGCCAGTTTTGGCTGGGTCTGTTCTTCCAGCAAGAAGGGAAAAGAGGGATGTGTGCTAAAGGTAGATGGACAGAGGGTGGGAAGTCCCATTATTCTTTCCACTTTTTTCTCCATCTCTGACTCTGCCATCTTTTTCTGCCTCTGTACTTTCTGGGAGCTGGTTCTGCTGATACTTCTGCTGAATCTAAATGCTGACCTAACTTGGCAATTCTTTTATGTTAGGAGTCTTAGCTGTGACAGTCCATCTGCTTCTTCGC